TTTTTTTTTTTTTTTTTTTTTTTATATTGATATGTATGATAACTATTATTTTAATTATTATTTTATTTTCAAACGGCTTTTAAAAATAATTTTGAAGGGTTTAAAATGTAAACATAACCTAATATTCTAAAAAATATCTCAATCCAATTGAATCTATGAATATGGAATAGAGATTTGTGAGAAACTCAAAGTCAGTGGTAAATGGAAAGCAGACTTAAAAAGGAACGCAAAGTCGAAGTCCCAAGCAAAAAGTATTGGTTTTCTTCGGTTTAAGAAGCGGTGAGTGATCTTTGCCCGACGGCCGAAATTTGTCGATTCACTTTAATGTTCTCAATCACTTTGTTCCGGTAAGCTAATCTTCGATTTCATTCTGGTTAGACGAGGATTCCAACTATCTAGATTGGTGGTTTTCATTTCTGTAATGTATGCCCTCCACCTGTTCGACAAAATGCCGCAGTGAAGTTCCAGGCTATGGCATAGCCACTCCGCTGTTCGATGTTGAACCAACGAACATATGTGAAGCTACTTCTCGGAATTTTTCAAGGGATTAACTTCATGAAGTGATTATGGAGGCATGATTATGGCGTATAAGCATTCTCAGAGGTTGATATTCGTCTGCCGCGTAATTCATCTAAACATAACGAGATGCGCTGCGTTGTATTCAAATCCGATGCTATATCACTGCTCAGAGGACTCCTTCGACGATCAAGAGCGGCTGCCAGCCGATTGGTACGAGAAGGCATTTCCGAAGATAAAAAAATTGAGCTGCTCATTGAAGAATGTGGATTTGATCGATGGACGACTTGTTAATGTTAACGACGATTCAACCATTTTGGACGAGCGAATTGAACAGAGAATGCGTATTTTTAAGTCTCTTGTAAGAGTCTTCATTGGTTCTTCATCGGTTCAGAGGAGAGTAACGGAAATGGCTGCATCGACTACTATAAATTGGCAGCCTCAGGCATGTTTCAGAAACTCAAGCGAAAGAGAGCCAATGGTTGTTGATTCATTCACCAAGGTCAGCAACTTCCTCAACGTGTCTGCCCAACAAAGGAAGCTTGTGCGCCACACCATATGCCCACAGGTTTGTTTAAATAGGAAATATTTAGTCTTTTGTGTATATATATATATATGCTTTATATTTTCACCATATGTGAGCTTTGAGTATCAATTTGATTTATAAAGCTAAATGCATGAACAGCTGATGTCAATTGGTGTTTGCTTATGAGTTAGTTCGATTAATTTCATGGAACAAATGTCCATTCGAGCATAACCCAATTGGTTAAGGGATATGTCCACAACTAATAGGTCAATTATTCGAATCCCCACCCTCACATGCCGCTGAACTCAAAAGAAAAAAAAAAAAAGTCCTGTAACATCCACAATACGTCGATATGGGATTGTTAAGAAACAACTAGGATTTTATCGTAGGTAAGTGGCCATTACGAGATGTGAATCCTTAACCTCAAAATCTTTTGCTCCGTTAGACCAACGTAGATTTTATCCTAGATAAGTGGCCATTACGAGACATGAATCCTTAACCTCAAAATCTTCGGCTCCATTAGACCAATGAGTCAGTTTACACACCTTATTCTTATGGGATAACTATATGATCCTATAGTCTGTTTAAGTAACTTGTAGGATATTAAATTTTTGGTACATGGTCTCTCTGACTTATCGGGGTTTACTTAGATTTGAGATAAATCACTACTAACGTAAAAAGATTAAACAGATAGATTATATGTTGAATCTTTTATATTTATTCTTTTCAACAGGCTACACAGCATCACATATGGACTGGTGCACTGGATCATGTGCTGAAAGAGTTAAAAATGGAGCTGGATCCATTGGCTCATCACTCACCCAACAAAGGGATCAAAATGGGGCAGCAAATAGTTTCAAGTTGCCTAAAGTTCTTGAATGATGCCACCAATTCAAATGCTCACATCACTTCATGGATGCGGCCAGCTCCATTGCAACGCAATGTCGATTCATCGACATCTCCAAAATGGGAAGACATGCTCGAGATGTTCACCGATCTAATCGGCACGCTGAAAGATGAAAAGGGTTTGCATCAATATGTGACAAAGCTAGAGGTTATGAAGGAGGGGCTTACACAGATCAGAGACGTGCTAGCCGATAAAAGCATTGGATTCAAGGAAGCAAAGCATCAAGAAAGTCTGGTGCAGAAGAAGCTCTCAAAGACGCTGGGCCACTCATCCAGGTGCTTGTTCACTCTCTTACTTTACTATCTTTTTGGGCATTTTAGGGATGTAGAAGTGGACCTTTGTGGTGGGTTGTTGAAGGCTGTTGAGAAGGAGAAGTATTTGGTGTTCATGGGGAGGATCTTGAGCTGTGATGAGGAGAGAACTGTTTGGAATGGGGTGAGGCAGCTTGATAGAGCAATGGGGCTTTTTAAATTTGTTTGGGAAACGGCTGGAATGAAGGGGGATTTGGTGTTGCGGGGCCATTTGTTTTGTGTTGGAGCTGAGGATAGGCAGCTTAGTTATAAAGGAAATGTTTATTTAGTGCATGAGATCAGTTTATAACCAAGCCCTCTATCTTCATCATTTCTTTGAACTTTGTGTTAAAATAAAGAACAATTCATTCATGAGTTCAAGATCAACGATTTGTTTGAGTTAATGATTCATTTTGTTGAGATTAAAATTTTGGGATGAAAACGGAAGTTGAAGTTGAAATTAGAGATGCCCACGGGGCGAGGACAAGGGGAACTGTTAAGGATATTTAGTAATAAATTATAGTTTACCATATATATTATATTTGATATTTTATTATAAAGCAAATATCTAATATTTGCTTTATTATCATAGGTATCTTTCCATTTATTGTTATTTCCATTTATTACTATTTCCATATCCTTGTAATTCACTTGATTATAAATAAGATAACTTTCACACCATTTAGGTAGTGTGGTGGATTAATCAAACATTCACATGGTATCAGAGCCCTCTCGGTTTAACAACCCCGATCCTTTCTTTTCAATGGCTTTTGAATCCTTTAATCTTCTTTCTCCACCACCCCTGCTGGTTTTGACGCCGCAGGGGCAGTCTTCATGGCTGCCGTAGTCGGAGCCGATTGATTACTCTTCGGCTCCACCCTATTGACCTCCAAATCACCTTTCGTCATACTTTGTACATACAACCTCACCTTTTCCAACCCAATCGGTTTTCCCCTTGGCCAATATAGTCTCTCTCATTTTCTTCCCAATCAACCTTCATCCTTCACATAAACCCTAACCTAAACCTATCAACCTTTTGCAGAGATTTACCTTCGGAATCTGGGTGCCGCACTGGCCTATTCGCCAACCAAGTTGCCGCCGCCCTTCCTGCCAAAATTGGCTTCTTCGCCCGATGAGGCGACTCTTCCGACTGCCCTTCTCGCCAAAATTGGCTCCTTCGCCCAATGTGACGACTCTTCCGGCTTCAACATTGTCTTTGTCCCTTGCTCTAGGTTTCCCCTTCTACTTCTTGGGGTTAGAAATATTCTCACCAGAGCCAAGGCAGCATCGTCGCTAAACGACAATCCCTCTTCATGGGTTAGACATATTCTCACCGAAGCCAAGGCAGCATTGCCGCTGAGCGGCGATTCCTCTGCAATTTTCGATGGCCAAGAAAGTGTTTCTCTACGCCTCCTCTGAACCAGGTTGTTGACTTCTTC